ACACTATTTGCACCACTAGCATGTCCTGACTCTGCAGATTTTTGAAAGTAAATGAAAGCCTTACGTTTATCAATTTTAACACCAATTCCATTTTCATAACAGTTGCCAAGCGCAAATATTCCACCAACATGTCCCATCTCTGCAGATTTTTGATAATGAATGAAAGCATTACGTTCGTCTTTTTCAATACCAATTCCTAGGTCATAACAATATCCAACATTATATATTCCATTTACATTTCCCATCTCTGCCGATTTTTGATAATAAACGAAAGCTTTACGTCTATCTTTTTCAACACCAATTCCTATATCATAACAATGTCCAACATTATATGTTCCATTAATGTCCCCCATCTCTGCAGATTTTTGATAATAATTGAATGCCTTATGTTCATTCTTTTTAACACCAATTCCCTTTTCATAACAATTGCCAAGTGCAAATGTTCCATTAGAATGTCCCATCTCTTCAGATTTTTGATAACAAATAAATGCATTACGTTCATCTTTTTCAACACCGATTCCATTTTCATAACAATTACCAAGTGCAAATGTTCCACTAACATGTCCTAATTCTGATGATTTTTGAAAATAAATGAAAGCTTTATTTTTATCTTCTTTAACTCCAATTCCATCATAATAACAAGTACCAACAAAATATATTCCATCAGAATCACCTATTTCAGCAGAATTTTGATAATAAGAAAATATTTTATGTACATCCATTTCAATTCCTATTCCATTTTGATGATAAAATTCAATGTCATAAGAATCTAATTCTGTTGATCCTTGAAATAGATTATAAAACATCTTCATCTTTACTTTTTAAATAAATTTTTTTGTCGCTATCGGATGAAACAACTTATTGTGGGTAAATAATAAGTGAGTTTTAATATCCAAGCACCAAAAAAATTTAATTCGAGATATCTTAAAAATAGATGTTTTTTTTATGCTTTTCGTTATTTTGTAATTTTTTGTATTTTATTATCTTTTGTTGGAATTCAAAGTTATGTAATGCTAAAAAGCGTCAAAGTCCTTAAATTTATAGAAAAAAAACTACAATTATTTTGACGGTCCTTTTTGTGTGACTGATTTAAATTGAACTGTTTCAAATAAGCCATATTTTCAACAGGGAATTAACTTATTTTAGGAAATAAGTAGAAATGTTAAAAATAGTACGTATGAAATTTTTTAAAGAAAATTGAATATCAGGATGATCTTTGAAGATTAAATTTTTACGAATTTGAATGATTGTTCGTAAATCTTTGATTTGATTGGTAATGTATTTTTTACATTTACGTAATGTCATAAAATTACAGCATTACTATTGGCATATGTTGTAAATTGTATGAAACTTAAATTCATTATTTTGTAATGTCGTTCAATTTCCTGACGGTCATTTCCCCCCAACAAACTATTTAAATTACAAAATGACATTTTAGCATTTTATTAGTTGCAGTTATATTTTATTAATGAATTTTCACACTGTGTGTGATGTCGGTTAAATTACCAATTGAGGAATGACCAACGAAATTTTGATACGTAATCATTATTTTGTTTGAGTTTAAGTACGTACGAAAGAATATGATATGATTTATTAGTTATATTAAAGGGATATAGTTTTGTCTTAATCTGCGTTGTAAATCTTTTTGGAAAAGTATTAGTATAATGACTTTGACAAATCAAATTACTCTTATCTAATAGTTCGAATGTCTAACTAAAAAAGATAATCACATTACAAAATTTAGCATAAAAACAAAACCGTGTTTAGGAGTTTCAGAGATCAAAACTCCTATCAATATTAAACTTTGTCTAAAACTGAATATGAGATTAAAAGCTCACTTTATTTACCTAAAACAGCAACACTGAACCAAGCATTAACAAAATTTTCTATTCGTGAATGTCTATTTTAATTTTATCACATCCTGAACAACTAATAGTAATAACTATAAATGCACAACGAACCAACATGATATTTTTTGTAAGTAAAATTGCATGTTCTAAATAATGACTTTTATGCAAAGTTGATTAATTTAGGTTTAGATTTAGGGTTGTTAAATTTTTTTGAGTTAGTGCTAGCTAAAAAGTTACAGAGGATCCGTATCGTTTCATTGACAATCACTTCATAAATACCTTACATACAAGTTATTTTATAGATAATCAATTCCCAAACAAATTTATTTTATGAATAGTTTATTACCAATTTTATAGGCAGTTTTATTTACTGACAGCTCATTTTATAGAAAACTTCTTTTCTCAGGAATTGCACTAAACTTAACACTAATCCTAATTACAATGGTGTCTATAATCGACCATTATTTATTGACTTGACTAAGTCAATATTTGGCAATATTTAAAAATCGGTTTAGACGGCAAAGTCAAAGTTGAACATCTTTGGTTACCCCTTGGAAGTTTCCTCATTTTTGTCACATCCTTGATGTTCATTGGTTTCTTTTCTTTTTGGACTTTTTCGGAATCTAATTGATTTGGCCTAAATTTAATTGGTTACTATATAATCTTTCTTAGACTAAGCCGGCTAAGTCGATTAAATCAACTAAAACTACTACGTATCACTAACAAGAATTACTTTGTATAATGAGCTATCGGTAAAATGAACTATCGATAAAATGAAATTGTCTGTGAAATAAATTGATTGTCTACGAAGTGAACAGCATCGAAGTTCAGTACCTAAAACTGAATTAAACTAGAACAAATACGTTAAATGTTCGAAGTCGGTCATTGGCTAAAAGCAGAAAGACAAAGTGAATAAATTGATAATCATCCAATCTAAAAATAGGTGCAAATGTACAAAACCTGGTTTATTATTACACCATAGATCGTCCTCTGCTAACACTCCGGACGATAATTACGTATTGTCACGGGTAAAAATAAGATTAATTGCATCTTTGTTTGAAAATAAGTAATAAAAATATCCTGATCCGTTGGGGATTAGCGGAAACGAAATTTCCACTTGTAACAGGAGCGACCATTCGAATTTGTAGATTATTCTAGAATGGTTACGCAATTGATAAATAAAATTTTTTATAAAGTTTTACAATATTTTTAAAAGTTCGGGTAGCTTAACTTTCTATGAAACGAGAGTAAATTTAACGGATGAATTAATGGTTTCTCTTCGCCTTATGACATATTTTTCGAATTCCCATCCAAGATATGACTAGTGACAATCACGTGTAATTATATCGAATCATCTACAAATTTAAACGGTCACTCGCTTGTACACATCTACCAGTTATTGAAATCACTAACCTATCCACTAGCAAATTGTGAACCTACCTACTAGCAAAATTAGGAATCTACCTATTGTTTAAATTACGAATCTACCCATCGAAACTGTGAAATCACTAGTTTACCTCTTGTAGAAATTAAATCACGAAAAAATTCTGTGTCAGGTGTTGTTGATCATCGTGATCATCGTGGCACAGATTGCCGATCTACAAATCATCAGATGTAACGTAACACGATCAGGAAAGTTCTCTAACAAAAAGGTTTCCTTATCCGATTTTACCACATAGCCACCCAGTCTCTGACCTTATTCTAAACGCTTACTCTAACATTAATGAACTTTAAAAAATTTTGCTGCACCATCAATTTGGCACAGAATTTTTTCGTGCTGAATCAATCTAATAAAATCACAGAATATGAAAAATAGATAAATAGCTCATTACATTACGAAAGTCATATTCAATCACAACTTTTTTAATACTTAATTGTTTAAATAGTATTTATGTACATACATGATGAAGGTTTTGTCAGGTTCATCTATCTCTAGTCAACGTTGACAAAATGTCCGGTCAGCCTAAATTGCTCCAACATACTGACAAAATAACTGTCGACAAAATGGTTTATGAAATTTGGTTTATGCCACAATCATAACCCAAATTTATAAAACGCTGAATGGAAAATTTTTATTGTTTTAACTTATATATATATCATAATGAATTTTATTTACTCAAGTAAAACATCTCATTCTTGGTTTTAAAGCACCAATGTTGTGCAGCTACCCAATTAATTGAACTATGCCGTCTTTGATTGAAAAAAAGTACCACTTTCTTGCCTACTAATTAAATTATTATCAGATCTAGTATAATAGGGTGATGCTCATTTCGCCGACAAGTTTATTTCACCGACAGTCATCTCACCGACAGTCAATTCGCCGACAAGTTTATTTCACCGACAGCCTATTCACCGACAGTCATCTCACCGACAAAGTAATTCTGGTCATTTTCGTTAGGGTCAGTTGGAATTAGAGTTAATGTTAGTGCAACTTTAAAAAAAACCTTGTCAGTGAAATAAACTTGTCGGTAAATTGGTATGTCAGTGAATTGATTGTCAGTGAAATGACACGTACCCAGTATAATATAAACATTTAAAAATTCAAAAAAATTCAAGCGACTTAATTATATATAAAAAGCATAATTTATACTAAAATTTTTTTTGTTAAAACTCCAAACATAACTTTATTAATAAAAATAACAATATCCGTATGTATACACATAGTGTACAAATAGAAGTTCTCATATAGTGTGCGACACTTAAAGATTACATTTTGTCCTATTTTTAAAATTTACAAATTTATAATTTTTTATGTTTTTAAAAGTTACTTAATCTTGTTGATTGACAAAATTTCTTAAAATTTGATTGGTTAAAAATTTTTTAAAAAAATTTCAAAATACAATTTGATTGGCTATTTGGCTTAATGTGTCCCATTTTTAATTTTTTCTATATGAATATATAAAAATACTATATTTTTAAACCTATATTTTTTAAAATGTTATTATAACTTTCTAAAAAAATGAGACCGTTAAATTGTAATAAATTGCTTTATCTACAAAATAGTGGCTTCTTTTTTAAAATACCTTTGTTAGATCAAAAATTATTGGCTTTTAAAGTTTGTGTAGTCTTTAAGTATCGCGCGCTGTATAAAATTTAAAATTTTATTTTTTTCTAAAAAATAAAACAAATAAGCTTAATTTGATACATATGTTATTTAAAATATTGATACATGAAAGATAAATAGTTACTAATTTTGTTTCCCTTGTTTATTTGTTTCCAATATTGAGTTTTCAACTCTTTCCTAAGTTTTTGACATTCTTTTGTTTTTGAAAAATCTTTTATATTTGTTCCAACTGGTACTTCTTTAGTAATAGTTCCCGTTAAGGGGGTTGAGATTACTACGTATTGTTTTACTTTCCTTTCGCTTTTGCCATAAGCTTCTAAATGTGTACCATATTTTGCACCTAATTAAAATACACATAATTATAAAATAGATTAATGATTCTGTATATTTTGTATAATTGTCTAAGTTGTTTTTTATTAATATTTCTTAAGCGCATACCTTGACCATAATGATAGAAAGGTTTGTCAAGTTCATCGTAATTGGACATTTTTCAAAAAAATTAGTTATGAGAAATTTAAATCATGTTGCTTAAATATTGATTTTATAGCTATTTCTGTATTTCAAAAAGGTGTAACCAGACATATACAATTATATTGTTGGAAATTGTATGATTCCAATTTTACTGATTCTGCAAATAAGTGAAATCAAAGGGAATCAAAGAGAAATAAGAGAATCGAGTAGATTTCTCATAAAATAATGGCGCGCATCTGGTTACACCTTTTTTACAGCTGTTTTCAAAAAGGTGTGAACAGGCGCAGATCACCTTATCTCGAGAAATTCACTAAATTCCCCAGATTTCCGGAATTTTCAAAGACAATACTAATCGGACATACAATTTTTACTAATCAGAATTACCTGATTCTTCAATTTCCAACATAGCTATATGGAAATTGTTGTTCACCCTTTTTGAAAACAGCTGTAAACATGATTATGTGTATCAATATTAAAAAAGTGCTTTCCTGATTATAAACCAAGAATCTTCAAGAAATTTCTTTGTTTACTATTTGACATAATTAATTTCAAAGAATCTTTTAATTTTACACGTAATGTTTTGTACGCGACACTAATTTGAAATTCGTGTAACTTTTTTACAAAGAAAAAAATCATCTTCACTTTAAATTAGGATAAATGGATTTAGGTCTAGAATAGGGTGGTGGCTGACACTAAATTTCACGAGGAATCTTTTTGTTAGAACTAGAAAGGTGGTTAATAATCAATATTTTATGATATAAACTTTTTTTTTAAAGAAAGAATTAATTTTACATTTTACCGGATCTTACCTCCGTTGGCTTTTTTACATACCCGTGTATATACAGGTAATGCATGAATAGAATTGTCTGTTTAAATTTGACAAATTTAACGGAAAGAATTACACTATATTATTTTTCCTTTTTAAATGTCCCCAAATATTTACACGTTTCGCCCCAGAATTCTTTAGATTGTTGTTAGATTTGATTTTATAATCATTCGATTTTATATTTAGAAATATAAATATAGCACTCATGTTTTAAGGTATGGATTTGCATAATTATTATGACACATCTGACATAAAAAATATTCTTTCAATTATTAATGTCTATAAATATATAAATTGAAAAGGCTTGTATATGCTTAAAAGGGTTTTAAATGCATAAACAAAGATATATGCGATGTGCAGTTATGAATAAATAAATTAGTAGTGATAAAGAGTTATTTATAGGTTATTAAGATATTAATATAATCGTTCATTGCTTTTTTAAAGAATTCTTTATAATAATTCAAGAAATTAATATGTATAAATAGTCATGAGCTTATTTTAAATACTTTAAGCCCATGAATATATATGTTAGTTTATTGTACATATATTATTTAGTAATTGGGCCCAGGTTGGTGCCACTCGATCACCCAGTACACCTATGCCAAGAAAAGAGCTGAGCTGCGACAAAAAAAAACATGGGACCGTGATATCTCAAAGATTCCTTACATATCTGAAAACTTTAACTAGAGGTTGGAACTTAGTTGTCATAGTAAATTTTTTATTTTTTTTATTAATTATGTTTTTCACATTTGCTTAGTTAGGGTCGGAAGTGATATTCAGCCTCGATTTTGGACGATAAAAAATTTATGCTGAAATTACCCAAAAACTTTGCTAATGAAATTACAGCCGCCCATTAAGTGAAATTATTCCCGGTCTAATTTTACCATTGCGCAGGTCTATTTTTCTAAAATTTATGGTTTGAATGAAAAAGTTAAAAAGATAAACAATAATGTAATGCGGGCCAAAATTTTGTATAGCTAATCAAAATCGAGAATCTGTCATGATAATTTTGTTGCAGCAGCTATGGTTAGTGATATGGGTCTATGAAAAAATCGTGGGCCAGGGTCGGTCCTAAAAAGCCGGTCCGGTTGACTGGGCTGACCTTTTTGCTAGTGCAATTTTTTGATCCGAATCAGTTAACATAATCTATATTCAACGTGCAAAAGGCATTATGTAGTTTTTTTTTCAAATTCTAGTGATTTTAAATTATTTAATTTTTATTCAGTTTGTCCTTGAGAAAAATTTTAGCATATTAGTATTTAATTTGATTGATTCTCTATTCCTCGTTTATCGATTATCTATGTCTCGTTCATGATTGTCTATGCTTATGAACATTTCTGATCTATATATTATATCTGCTATTTACCAATTTAGCACACAAATGCAGAAATGAGTCAACTTCTTTTATATTAATATAAATGACTAGCCGATCTTTATCTAATTTTTGCCTGAAATATGTTTTGGAAGAAAATTGATTCTAACACTTCTCTTATCAACCAGCCTGACTCACCAAGGTGCAGGCTAAAGGTCTACTCACCCATTGACTCAGTGATTGGATCAGTGTTGAAAATCTGATGTTCTCATGTTCTCAAGAGAACATACTTTTGAATTTGGGAATATTTATTACTTTAAACATGTTCTCTACAAAAAATTTTTTAAGAACATATTGCTTAATAAATATTTCTCTATATAGCATAGTATTGACTGAAGTTAACAATTAAAAATAGATAAAATCTGAAAAATTCAGAAAAAAAAATAAATGAGCATAAAAGATAAGCAAGTTTGGAACAAAAATTTGAATAAATTATCAATATTATCTAAAAAATTTTTAAAAATAACAACAGAAATTTTTGTTTTTGAAAACATAAAATTATTTATGAGAACATTAAATTAAATCATTGTGTTCTTATAGGAATAAAAATTCCAAACCAGATTTCCACACTGTCATTACTGCAACTGTAAGATCTAATTGTCAAAAACAATATTTTTGTACTATTATAGCAGTGAAGTTTCATAGTTACAAAAATAAAAAAACTAAAACAAAACCAGGTTCTTACACTTTATCACACAAGTTGACTATCATGTATTTAAACTTATTGTTGTTACTGTACTGTGGGTTGAATAGAAGGGACAACAGGGTAGTCTTTCTGCAAGACAAGTGATAGCAAAAAGTAAGATAAGATTTTTTACTAAAAACATTATTCTTGAATACATTACATTACTTTGTTTTACTAATCTGGTTTATACTTAAAGTTATATAAAAATATTTCTTTACTTTAGCACTAATTTGGTAATATTCATATCTGTTCACCATTTAACAACTATAAACTTAACAGTTCACAAGTGACCAATATATGCATATAATTTATAAAGTCATCTAAGCTACTTATTATAAAAAAATTAAATATTTTTTGTTAAGAATATCTTATTAAGAATAATGATAGTATTTTTTTTTTTTTTTAATCTTTGGCAATCATAATGGTCAACCAGTCAGAAGTTTATTTATAAATGTTTAGTACAGACAATATACAAATAGAACTATATCCAACTCCATGTGCCATCATAATGCAGTTACCCAATTGACATCTATAAGCAACCTGCCACATTAGACCTGCTAAAGTTTGAATCAAGCTCGTTTGTCTGCCATCCTACAATTGAACAACACCAATCTGATACTATTCATTTATAGGAAGATAAAAAATAAAAAAATTTTTTTTATTAAGAGGGAATGCATTAAAAAAATATATATATAGGAGAGAAATATAAAAAAAAAAACAAATATCAAGAAATAAAAGAAAAGAGGATTGCTGATGAAGGCTAGACAAACAGTCACTAATTATAAAGACTGTGTCAGCCTATTAAAAATTATATGTTACTAAATACAGTAATCTCTACTTTAACTCTATCTAATTAACATATTTAATACTAAAGCTTATATCCTAAGTGAAACAATTCAACTAAAACTGAACTGGCAAGACAGAGAATTTTCTATATGCCAGATGTCTAACTTCTTGTCACTGAATTCATTTTCATGTATGACTCATTATACTTTTCACCAGATCTTACATTTCAACACTTGTTATATTTCTGACCAATTATCTCATCTTTTGCCAAAAAACTCCAATCTTGTCTCATTGTTGTGTTTTCTCAAACACATGTATTTATGCTTTATCTGCAACATAGGCCTTTCCAAATAGAACTGATAAACAATCCTGATTTGAAAGGATTAACAATATTGATTTCGATGGGGGTAAACTAGATTGCCCACTTTTCGATAAAAATTTCTTGGAAAAAAGTAGAAAAGGAATTTATAAAGCACCAACTGTAATAAGCATAGGAGTTTACATTATATAGAATAGCATATTCAACTAAGCTTCTATCTTTGCTACTGCTCAAATATAGCTTAACAAAACTTCCTTGGTTATAGCCAAAGTTACTTTTCTGATAACTCTATAGACTTCTACTAGAGAGCCAAATCCAAGAAGCTGTTTTTTTTAACTTTTTTTTATATAATCCATATGCAATCCAAAACTCTTAAACCCAGATGCTATATAGTGAAGTTTTGTTATATATAAACATACTAATTATATAATTTTTATAGATTAGTATATATGGAAAAATTGGTGCAGAGGATTATCAGAAAAAGTTTTTAATAATAGTAATTGAAAGCTATTAAACATTGATTATCTGGTTTTAATTAATAAGAAAGATTATCTAATATTATGTTTCAGAATAAGGATAAGATCAGTTATAGTTATAATAATAATTATTTAGTCATAGTTATTAACTATAACTGGTACTAACAACTTAACTAACTGATATAACTAATGACAATTAGCATTTTGAATATAATTTTCCTACACCAACATGATAAAATATGAATACACTATGTTAGTACATATTATCTTAACTTTTACTATATTTGAAAATTATTACTTATACTAAAAATAAGGATTTTTCAAAAAAGTAGAACAGAAACTATCCCTTACACATTTCATATTATACACTTATTTAATCATACTGTACATACAATAAACTTCATTGACAAACTCTCTATATAAATATTTATACATATTTATTTTTTTGATATAAAAATCATTTACATTTTTTTGATCATAAATTAATTTTTACTCAATATTCTTGATATAAAAGTTAATTATTAAATTTTATTATTTTTTGGTGTAAGCTTTTTTACTTATGTGAAATTTAATAACAATATATTTTTCTTATAGAATAGCCAATTTTCAAAAAGATATATGATAATTATAATGCATTCTAAGACAAGTAAAACATGATAACTAAAGATGGTCACATATAGGATTTTTAATATAATTTCAAAATAAGATTATCTGGCTAACATTACTATAACATCTAGATAGTATTAATATAATATCTGACCTGTATTGATATATTTGACTAATTTCTAATTAAAATTTCTTTATTTATTTGTATACTATTTTATACATATGTTTATTAATATATATGATAAGAATTTATCTTCTTTGGCATTGGTATTTTTACTTATATTACAAAAATATTATTTATTATTAAGTTACTCTTTTAAAAATAAATATAACATGCATAGTAATAATAAAATTTAATATTATTTTACAAAATTAGATCAGATTGAACCTTTAACCAAGTATGTGCTTAATGTAATTACTGCTATTAAACTTTACAAAAAATATATGAAAATTTATTATTTTGATTGCAATTGCAACAATCAAAAATTTAGACAAAATTTTTAGTAAAGAAATTGTGATCCATCTATTAAGTAAAATTAGGGTTTGAAAAATTTATAGTTTAATAAATCCTGTACAGATTTTTGAAGAAACAGCAATTTGTCCATCTTTAGGTATAATATATCTTGTAAAATTATATAAAATCCATATTACTAAAACTTATATGAAATTATATATATTGTAAATTTACAAATCAGCTGTCTTATACAAAAGTATTATACCAGCTTTTTGTCTTGAATTGATGGAGTATAATTAATAGTATCATGATTGATTACATGATTTGTAAAGCATGATTCAAGAAAGTAATAATATAGTTTTTGTTTGATTAATGATAGAGCCTATTATAATAGTTATGTATTGGGGAAGTATATTTACTTGTAAGCATTGAGAGATTGACTACACAGTTAGATAGTCTTTTAATTAAGTAATTATTAGAGGTGGTTATAGTAATAATATAATTACATCTTTAGAGTTTACTAGAGTAATAATGTAACTATATATTAGAGTTTATTTGAGTAACAACATAAATATTTTATTAGAGTTTATTAGAGTAATAATATAATTATGTCATTAGAGTTTATTAAAGTAATAATATAATTACATTATTAGAGTTTATTAGAGTAATAATATAATTATAGCATTAGAGTCTATTAGAGTAACAACAAAATTAAGTAGTTTTGATAAAGCATATTAAAAGAAAATGGGATTTTTTTTTAGATAAAATAATTTCTGTTTTTTCTGCTAACCTAACTTTAATTTTTTTGTATCTAAACTTTATAACTTATTTTATGTAATTTAAAATACATATAAGAAATAAAGAAAATTTTAGAATAAATCATTATTATTAGAAAACTATTGCAGTATTATCTAAGTATTATATAGTAATTCTAAATAAATATTTAATTTTAATCAAAGCTGTCACTATAGTAAATGACCTTTATCTTCAGATTTAGTTCAAATAGACTTAGAGTTTAATCTAAACTAATTATTATTAAAAATATAAAGAATAATCTGTTACAGAATAGATAGATCAGAAACAAGAGATTTTGTCTAGATTTGCAAAGTAGTTTTAAAGTAAAACTGGGTTAAAAATGTCAGTTAAAGAGATAGTATAATTAAAAAAAAAGAAAGTGCTGTTATATTTTATGAAAAGGCAAGATAACAGCTTATTAAAAAAGTTAAAAGAAATATAATAGTTAAATAACATGATGCAATATTTAAGAACAGATTGAGAAATAATAATTAATGCTAAAAGCAAGTTAGATATAAGAGGTCAGAATGTTTTATCTATTTATATATTGGAAGAGAAGACTTTTGGTTATAAAACATAGTTAAGCTCATAAATTTTAGAGAAGTTTAAGTATAAAAATATTTAAATAAATTATAAGTTATTAAAGAAATGTAACTAGCAGAAGTATAATAAATAGTAAAAATCAGAAATATTATTAAACAAAGTGTTGTTTTTAAAAGATTTAGGTTATATGTATTTAGTAAGACAGATAGTCTTAAAAAATGCTTATGTGATAAAAATAGCTAATAAAGATGATTTGAAAATAGTTTTATAAATAGTAATAAAAAATAGTTAGATTTTATATCAAAGTTGTAAGAGGTCAGACAGAAAAATGCTAGGTTAATAGCTTAGTATTACTTAAACAAAAAAGATAAAATATCTTATAATTCATTTTGATCAGTTTTAGTAATTAACACTAGCTTTTTAGATAAGTAGTATTCCTATAATACAGGTTGCATAGATGCAATTCTTTATTTAATTATTTGACTTTTAGTTTTAATATACAGATTTTTAAAATTAATTTAAAGATTTTATATTAGTTCTTTATTATTAGTTCAAGTAAGCTTATAAATAGTACAAGTTAGAAACCAATAATTTATATCAAAAATTATTATTTTATTATATTACAACTATAGATAATTCAAACAACCCAAAAAGTTAAAAAAAGATAAGAAATATAAGAAAAGTAAGATAATATATTATATTTGCAAAGGTAAAGTGCATTTTATAAATAAGTATAATTCTAAAAAGTATATCATATTACTCTTTTATAAAAATAGAATTTGATCAAGAGGTATTTAATAATACTTAGAGGTTTTTAAAAATAAAGAAAATAGAAATAAGAGTCTATATAATAGAAAGAATACACAAATAGAAAATAGTAGAATATTGAAATAAAACCATTCTAATTGATAATAAAATAGTAAAAAAATAGAATTAGTTTACTTTTAAGATTTCTGTTACAGTTGATAAATAAGCTAAATTCAAGATTATATTATTTTATAGAAAAAGAAGAATTTTGACTAAAAAATGAATTAGACAGATTAAAGAATTTAGATACAATCAAAAGAATAATCAAAAAAATGTTTATCTGTTTGTAGAAGATGAGTTTAGTTATTTTCTTTCAAAATAAAAATTCAAGAAGTTTTGATTGGTAATAGACTTGAGAAAACTGAACTGAACTCTATTATAAAATATATTTCATTTTAAGAATTTGAGAAGTTTATTATATATAGTTAGATAAACCTAGTAAGTAATTTCTTTTAACCTTATATATGAATATCATCATGTATTAATAAATAATAAGACTTAAAAACTGCTAGGATTTGTAATTAAAAGTGTTTAGTACAAGTATAAAGTTTTGTCTTTAGTTTGAGTTAAGTCTTATAGGTCTTTTTTAAATTAGTATGATTATTTTTTAGACAATGATATATATAAGAATCTTTTATAAAACCATTTCAATAAAAAAATTAAAAAAAAAAGTTGTAAAAGAAAACTTAAAAGAATATAGTTAAATTTGAGCTGAAGAAAAAAAAAGCTAAAATCTAATTTAAAAATAAAGTTTTGTAAAATAATAATAAATATGCTAAATAATATTATAGTGGTTCAGAAAAAAATATTATATCAACAAGATCAAAATTAAGAAATTGTTAAAAATGTTAACAGCTATAATAAAAAACTTGACATTTGTAGTAGACAAGATAATAAGTTTAGAAAGAATGTTTTTATCAAGTTAGATAAAATGTATATAGTTTTATAGACTTTTAGATGCAAGAAATCATCATTTGTGAGAATATGATAACAAGATTTAGTTATTAGTACAGGCAATAGAAAATGTTTATTGATTGGTAAAAATTTGAAGAAGTGAAATAATGACTGATCTAAAAACTCTCAAAGGTGAAGACAGTTTATGTTAATGCACTAACAACTGGTTGGTACAGGATTTTTTGATGTACAGTGTAGTAAAAAGTTAACAATATTAAAAGTTATAACTCAGTTGAAGATACTAGTAGTGTTAAGTATATTTTAATTATTTAAAAAGTTTTTAAAAGATTTTTGAGTAATCTTATTTATTAACAACAAGATAATGTTAGAGACTGTGTTAAACAGAGATATACAGAGTATCAAAAGAATATTACAAGACAGATTTGTGAGGTTTGTGTAATAAATTACATTAGAATTTTTAATATACAATAGATTTCAAATAAGGTAAATCTAGCAAACCTTTTAATAAGAGTAATGAATTTAGAGAACTGATTATTAAACCCAGAGACAATGTATCAGTTTGAGAGTTTGTAAAAAAATTCAGAATAACAGACTTATAAGTTATCTAAATTCAAATACTAAAAGATTCAACAGTCTATTTTTTTTGCTTATAAACAGAATCAGTAGACTGTTTTACTCAAAATTGAATAGAAGTAAAAAATTACATATGCCTACACTTTGATCAAGTTTACAAAACATTATGTCATGCAAAAGAATACAAAACTAGATAGTAATTGTAATTCCAATATGGGTTTCTACCTTATGGTAACCATTAATTATAAAATAGACAAAAAGAAGATCAAGTTGCCAATACCAAGCCAGATTGTTTGACTGGAACTGTTAGGGCATTTGGAACCTTGCAAAAATAGCCAGTGGTGATTGAAGGTATATTAATAGATTGGTTAGAGAACTGTTAAAAAAAATAAAAGTTTTAATGGACAGGTTTGTTTTTGATGCCTATAAAAGGCATTTGGAAAAGCCTAATGATGTTTTTAAAAACTTTGCTTTTAGGTTAAATTAGGCATTGGTTCTAGTAACAGAGAAATTGTTAACAGTTTTTTTGATTTGGTTGGAATTTCAGAAAGATTAGCAGAGGTTCTTATATATCAAGCAGCAGTGATGAGAGAACACAAAATGATGAACTTAAAAGATCTAACAAAGGAGAATATGATTCAATTAATTGTAAAGAGAATTAAAAAGTTAACAGTTCAAAAGAAAACCATAGCAGAGTATACAGCAAACCAAAATTTATTCAATTGACAAGTTGAATACAACTATTAGACAATTCATCACTACAACACAACACTTGAATCATACTACGTTTCTGGTTTAAGCGCAATTACGTCCTAATTTAAAAGACTAATAGTGAAAAGGTATATCAGAATCCATAGTTTTGTGAGATTATGTTATCTTCATCGTCTTAGCAACTCGACTCGAATTGGGGATAATCTGTTTATAAATGGCTCGACCCGAATTGGGGATAGTCGACTCGAATTAGGGATAGTCTGCTTATAAATGGCTCAGCTCTAGTTGTAGAGCCGAAGGATTGGCTTGGTGGCTGTAGAGGAGGCGACTGTATCAATTCATAAATATCTTTCATATTCATTAACTATCCAATTACGTATACGAATTTTCAAAAAAAAATAAACCACAGTAATGTCAAAAATAAAATGTACGTATTTTTGAAAATTCGCATGTTTTTTATATTTAACTATATATTATGCGCTACATATGAATGTATATGAGTAGTTAACTTGTTAATTTTTAATGGGAAAATACAAATACACGAATTCGCACAAATATCCATCTATTTAAACTAACTTTGAATAATCTTCATTAATCATGTAATTAAAATTAGTTAACGAGATGTTTCTTAAAAAAATTCTGTTGCCAATCAAAAAAGAAACGTAAAAAAAAAAAGACAGAAAATTCTAACAAATTGGTTATATCTCAGTCACTTATCGGGCTTTTTCTGCGCATTAACAAAAGTTTTCCTTTCAGAATTTTGATATTGGTATAACCCTACTCTAATTAATACTGAGACCCAACTCTAATGTTATATTATAATTTCTTTAGAGAATTTTTTGGGTTAAGCGGTACACATCTGTTTTGTTTAAAAATTTTCTCGCTCCACTACTGAATCCAAAGTTAATCAACTCAAATGCACCTTACATTTTAGTGGCTTTAATCAAAAAGCCCAAAGCCCATATCATCCTCAGTAATATCTGTAATTATAAGTATAACATCTTTTGCTTTCGACAAAGCTTCCTCAGTTAAACTGTTAGTAGCATCAAAACATAACTCCTTCAATTTTCCAGTTCTAATAGCATAATCAACTATAAAGTTCAAAGTTTCATCATTTAAAGCACTCAAATGAATAGTTAATTTCGACAAAGGAACTTTAAGCTCTTTAAGAAATTCATTAAAATGTTCTTGATTAATTACCAAATCAAAATTTAATTCTTCAAGAGTATTAGGAATTATTTTCGTGAATTCTAAAACCATTTCTTTGGTAAGTTGAATATCATTTAATTTTTTTTCTATATCCAAGTATTTAAGTTTTTTTAATTTTGAAAGAAGATTTAAAAACTGTTCGAACATTGTAAAATCTACCATTATTGTTAAGGAAGTAAGGTTTGAACAATATTCACCGATTGCATTTCTGATAGTTTCATCACAAACTTTAATAGATATCTTTTCCAAATTTGATCCAGACATTTTAACAATTAAGGAAAAAGATGAATAGAGCATAGGATAATGAGTTCCAGAAATAATAAGATTTTTGATTCGAAATTGAGTTCCTGAAGGTAAAGATGGTAGAGCACTTGGTTCAAATTGTGTACGTACATGATAAAAAATGAGGTTTAGTGTTTCTAAATTAACAGATGTTAAGTAAGGAATTAAAAGAGGGATATCACAGAATTTACTTATTTCAAGATATTTTAAAGAATCAGATTGACTTGAAAGAGCAGGCAAAGATAAAGAGGATTGTGAATTTGAATTATAAGGAAATTTAATAGTGAATGATTGAAGATTATACTGAGAATTTATTAACAATGATAAATGTTCGATTACTTCTTGTTGATAAATTGGATCACTACTTTGGTTAAATATGATAACAAGTTTTTGAATATAATGTGAATATAAAGATAATTTCTCCAAAATTAATAATATAGTTGATATATTTTGTGCCGTCATTGAAAACCAATTTTCTATATGTAATTCGGTTAATTTCGAAAAAGCACGATAAATTCCTTCATCACATGTATCCGGGAGAAGACGCATAGTACATGTTTCATCTTTACTATGAGGACTCAGGAATAATGTATGTAAGCCAATGGAGTTACTTAATATATATTGACTGATTACTTGATTGCAAATGTGCAATATGTTCTGAAATTCTGTATTATCAGTATCAGGTTTAATGACCGCTTTGCACCAATAATATAATGCATTATCAAAATAACGGCAATTCAAAAACTTTAGATACTTTGGATAGTTAAACAGTGCTGGTATAAAGTCTTCTTGAAGGGTTATATTGTTGTTTATCAAGGTCTGCCTTTGAATTTCTGAGAGACATTTTACATAGGCGGGAATAACTTTTACTTTTTTATCAGATGGGATATTACTGCTAAAGACATCACTCCATAATAAAGGAATAGTAAATCTACACCATGATCGATTGACTAAAGCGCAAGAGAAAAGTGCGTTATAATCCCCAGGTAAGTGATAAATAACCTCCCTAACACAATCCGAAGGAAGACGAAAAGGAATAATTAATGAATCCATTAATAAGAATAATGTGTACAGTACAATAGTTTCTGTTGAGTTTGTTGATACCAGATATAATAAATTTAAGCTCGTACGTAAGTCAGATTTAACATATTTTATAAAGAAAAGAATTAGATGGATGAGTGATACGTACTGTGATCAGTGTTCACAATAATTTTCGAACTAGTATCACACTGTATTACCCAATCATTTGATAACTTGATTTTAAATGGTTCAAATTCTAATCATGATGCAACTATATTGATTAGTGACCGCAGTTTACTGCGTAATTATTCAAAAAACATTGCTGCGTGTTATAATTTATGATAATACAGTAATAATAACAATGAATTAAAAGAATACAAGATCACACGCAGATTAAAATGTACACAATTTAAAATTTAGATTGAACTAGACCGGTGTTACTGCCATAGCTTTACTGCGCACCTCGTTATTATTATTTCTTATAGATTTCTTTTCTTATAAGGTATTATTATCACTAACCCAATATAAATTATAATCATCACTGTAATTGTATTACCGGGATCTTTATTCATAATTGTCAAGAGTAGGAGCGGTGTTTAATTCGAGAAGGTACTTGAAATTTGGCCCCTAAAAAATTGATTAGCATTACCAGGAACGTAGTAAAACGGAGTGTACGGTTTACTGAAGAATAAACGGTGTTGTATATAATCGTACAGTCATTATCATGAAAGACGTAGCGTAGGTTAATAAAAAAGAAAAAGCGTATAACATACATGTATGTATAAAATTTTTTTTTTAAAAAAAGCGTATAGTATACATGTCTGTATAAAAAAAATTTGAGTCAGTTATACTAGTTTGTATATTATCTGTTATTTTTATCGACTATAATTAATTATTTTAATCAGGACAGTATCGGTATTTATATAACGATAATAAGAAAAATGGTAATTGATAGTTGGTCATAAATAGAATAATGCAGTACATAGTAATATAAAATAAAGTAATCGAAATATTGTATAATGGTAGATTTTATTCAATTCGATGCATATCCATCCAACTTTAAACTGATATTTTCATCAAATATTTTTTTACTTTATTTTCTCTCACATATCGATATATAATATTTACGTATTTAATATTATTCAATACCAAGTTCACGCTCTTTAATAACATTAGAAATTCGTAATTCTCTTAATTTTTCTTTACGTTCCGCGATCATCAACATGCGCTCCTCATATTCTAATTTTTCCATGATCGTCATACCAGATTCGTTGAGTTCATTATTACTTGAATTGATTTTTTGAGATTCTTGTGATGTATCATCAGTTAAATTGACTACTTGAGATGTTCGCTGTTTTTTATTTATTTGAAATGATGATAATTTATTTCGTCTTTTTGTTGAAGAACTAGCTTTAGATTGTCGCTTAACTATTTGTACAAATAAAAATATAATTTAATAAATAGAATTATTAAAAAAAATTTTTAAATTAAATAAAAAAAATACTTATTACTTCGTTTAATCTCCAACTTTTTTCTTGCAATATTACTTTTATCATAACCACATGTATTAATATTAAAATTAGCTTTTATATCAGTTCTCTTGAAATTGCACATATCTAATTTTTGACCCCTAAAAAAAATTCAATAATAATTGTTATTAAAAATATATATATATTATATATACGATTATATAAACAAACCTTAATATCGTCATCATCAATTTTAGTTGTTTGCCTTCACGATTACTCATAGCATGTGCTGTTTCAGCACAATTTGTGCTATTTGGTGCCACATGCCACAAATCATGTGGAATTTTGGAAAGATTTGGATTGAGTGATGCAATAATATAAGGTTTTTTATAATATTGAACCCAATCTATTTTATTTAATAAATTTTTAATTAAATTTAAAAAATGTATATTATATAATTTAATAAAACTTGCCTACAAGATTATTATCAAGTGTTAATAATTCGTCAAATATTAATTCCACTTTTTCAGCTTTTGCAGTTAATAATAATTCCATTTTAGCTTTAATATTATTTTCAAATCTTTTTTCATTTAATTTTCTATATGTATAAAATAGATTATTTAATATATATTTAATAAATACTAATCTAATTATTACTATTATTTACTGTTTATAATGTACTTGACATGATTTAAAAATATGAACTAAATGTTCTTCCCAACTAAAAGAATTATCGATCAAAGCTAAAGTTTCACCTAATCCAATAAGTTGCGCTATATCAAGATCACTGATTATGCAGCACCATCCATTTCCATGAATATGATTAAACTTTGCTGGTTCACCAGTAAATTGTTTAACAAGACTGAATAATGCTTCAAATATACGTTGATATGCAATTGTAGTTGCATGATTGGTAAAAACTCAGGCAAAGATTAAAACTAATATATAAAATTATATATTATAATTAATATATATGGTATTATAAAAATATAATATAATTAATATAATATTAAAAAATACTTACATATATTATATTTTTTATCATAATAATTTACCTCGAATTCATTAATTTCTCCAGCGACTCTTTTAAATGATAAATCAATTTCAAAATAATTGCATTTAATCCACTTTTGTATTTGAGTTTGAGAGGTACAAATAATCATTATATGCCCATCACTAAAAAAATCTAAGACAAATAAATTAGATAATTAAAACTTTAATATTAGAAAAAAAATTTATAACTTACTTAATCGTTGAACATAATCCTGAAAATTATCGATATTACGTGAAAAATTATATACAACTCCTAATAAATCTTGACCGAATGGATGCTTTTCCTTTTGAATTTTATTTACACAGTAACGTAACTTATTTGTATTGTTAAATGAAGCGTGAACTTCACATAAATTATCAATACCAAAATAGGTCTTGATTAAATTTCCTAAAATAAAATAAATATACATATTAGATAGTACAAATATACAATATGTCATATTAAATAAAACTTATTTAAAACTTACTCGTTACAATATGTGTAGGTGTTACATCTAATAAATCCTCATTGACTTGTTTAACAAGTGCTTGCAATCTTTGTTTAATATAGCCTGGAGTTCGTGTAGGTGGTGGCGGTGGATGTGTATGTAATCCTTTACATATAAGGATTACAAATGGACATGCTTGAAGATCTAGTGGTATAATTTTGTAAAATTCTACTTTACATAATTTTTTTTAATTTGATCGTGACATATTTTATTTCCAGACTGATGAGGATAAGCTAATCATAAAATATAAATTATTAATATTAAAATAATAATTAAAAATTTTTAGCTACTTTTATTATTACTTACGACAATATTTTTTTTTTGAAGAATTTGAATATACGGTATAACATTCATTTGTAGATCCATTATCAATATCATTAGCATTAGGCTATAAATTATAAACAAAAATTGATTAAATAATATTGATATAAATTAATTAATTAATTAATTAATTTACCTCATAAGTACCATCAAATAAGCTGTGCAAAAGCTTGATATTGATATCAGGAGAGATATGCATAAAACGATGGTATTTTTCTCCGATTTTCCAATTAGTACAGCCGATAAAATAGGTGGATTCAGAATGATCTCGACATGATAAGCGATGTAAAACAGCTTTTCCTTCACATAGTTGGTTGTTTTTTTGAAACTTGCAAGGTGTTTCAAGAATGGCAAGATAAAGTCTAAAATGAAATTTAAATATTATTATATTATAGATAATAAACTTATGAATTTTTATTACTTACTCAAAAGTATTATTATCCATATTACTAGATGAAATTTCTTTAGTTATTCGCATCATCAGATCAGAATTAATATCAACACATTGGTGTGTTTGATTATATAATTCGTGTGCGCCAAACTCACAGAGTTTTGAACCTTGACAGGTTCGCATTTCATGTTTTACCTCAACACCAAGATAAGGACACATAACCTTATATTCACCACCGGGTTTGCCAATTGAGTATTGAATCTAAAATAAAATTTATAAATTATATGTGTATTAAATAATTATAATGACTAAACAATAAATTATATATATTTTGCAATTATTTACATTTTTGAATGCAGTTAATGGATCTTCCCAACCTTCAGTGTTATATACATAAGCAACGCCCTCTGAACTTGTTTCAGGATATTCTATAGATGTTAAGGTATGATAAATAACCTTCGATGCCAATTCTTTAGTAAAATATGTTATTGCATCTTCATTTAAATCGCTTGCAATATCATCATCAATCTCTTGAAGTTCATTGTTGGAAGAAACTAATACACCTTTATTTTCAAAAGATTCTAGGTCTTCTTCATAAATAGTTTCAACCCCATCAATAATATGAAAGTCAGGATCATCACTAAAATGAAGGTCAGGATCATCGCTAATATTGTGAGGCCCGATAACGTGACGTAAATACTCTGCCGGAACCTCACGTGAGACGGATACGACGATCAATTCCTCGAAATAGATATGCCGGCAATTAATCGCATTAATGCGATTAATTAAATAAATCAAGGAAGTGGGAT